CTTTTGTAAAACTAAGAATGGTATCTTATCTTCTCCCCTCTCTCTAATTTGCAAACTAAAGTGATCGTTATGGTTTAATTTGTACGTTCGTACTGTATTAGTAACAACATCTGGATCATGTGCAGTTGGCAACTGAAATCGTTTACCTTGGAGAGTTGATTCAGGAATTTCTAATATTTTTTCTTCATCAGGAAACCTTGGTGAATTATCGTTTACATCTATTATTTCCACTCCTACATAATGTATTTCCATGGGGTTTTCAGCTACCAGTTTTAGGTTTTTAATACATGGATGTATTTTTTCGCACAGCTCTTCTCGGTCGATATTTCCGTGAACATACAGAGCGCCATTTTTCCGATTTACTTCAAACTGAGCATCTTCAGCTCCGGAGACAATACGAAACCGTCGTTCCTCCAGTAAACTTATGTCCAGTCCCAGATCCTTTCCCACATTCCCAACAACACTTCCTATCTTTACTTCCTCTGGAATTGAATATTTTATCTGAGCTGTAACCCGCTCCACACAGCTGAGCATCAGAGAAAAGCTGATAGCAACCCACCAACACTGCGTTCCTCGTCTTTGTCCTCTTGGCTCCATCGTTTTCGTTAAGATAACAAAAGATGTATCCACTCAGAGGTCTTTACATCCAAGACCGTGGTCTAACATTAATTTTTCAAAACATAACATCCACTCTGAAATATACCCAATATTCCGAAGCTTCCCATGTATAAATCACGGCTACACTTGTGTCTGTGGATAGTGTCGTCTCCTTTCTGTCCACCACAACAAAACCTCTGTGGAAGGGGCAGGACCAGTGCTATAACACAAAAACTGGATGCTGATATGACACTGACACCGTGTGGATTCAAAAAATTAAGACATTTTTACGTTTTGAAGATTTGTTTGTTTGTTTGTTTGTTTGTCGTTGTTGTTGTTTGTTTGTATATTAAGATAGTTGAGAATTGACGCAATAACAGGACCCGGAATGGGCTTAGGGCATTTGGGTCGTCTACTTAATCCAGCGCGCAAGACTGGAAACAGTATTACGGACTATTTTTAAAATATACCATCAAAAAATCAGCAATATCAGTGTGTTTGCAAATTGGATAGTTCCATTGTGCTTATTGCGTATTTATATAGCTTTTCAAGTTGCAAAGACAGGGAAGTATCACGATCAAAGCTTTCCGTTCACGTACCCTAATCATAATAGTGAATATTACCTTCCATAAATACAACGTTATTCAGGTATGCATCCCTCCTTTACTACAAAAATACTTACATAAATAAAAATAACAAAATAAGATCAAATAGGATAAAAAAAAATTAAAAAAAATTCAGAATAAAGACATTTCTTTCTTGCTTTTCTTTACGGAACCAGTACACTGCACTTAATGAGAACCAAACAAAATATGATTTCCTGTTATTTACCTGCACTACAAAACTTCAACACGGATATACAGAACACTGATTAAAATTATTTGCATTATATAGTAAAATGGACCGCATGTTTTATCTCCAAAGAGAGTGGTGTTTGCCAGGAGGGAATTTTGTTTTCATTCCCGAAACAGCTTTAAGTAAAAACGTGCTCTTACCTCTTCAGATGTTCTTCTCCTATCAGGAAGCACGAGAGTATTTGCATGACTGCCCGGTACTATAGTAGATCCTATACTCATTCTTGGTCCAACTAGCATGTACCGCTTCTCTCCTGATCTGTACTGGATGCTGTGACACAGTGTCCCATCATAATTAGTCTCTGGCAGATATTTAGAAGT